GTTTTGTTCTGTTAGAAATGTAATACAATTGACTGGTTGCCCTGACACGACAAATAAATAAATTAGGAAAAACTTCCTGACTGTGAGAGCTGTTCAGCAGTAGAACTCTCTGCTTCAGACTGTGGTGGGGGCTCCTTCTTTGGAGGCTTTTAAAAAGAGGCTGGATGGCCATCTGTCAGGGCTGCTTTGAATGTGAATTTTCCTGCTTCTTGGCAAGGGGTTGGACTGGATGGCCCATGAGGTCTCTTCATAGAATCGTAGAGTTGGAAGAGACCTTGTGGGCCATCCAATCCAACCCCCTGCCAAGAAGCAGGAAAATCACATTTAAAGCACTCCTGACAGATGGCCATCCAGCCTGCTTAAAAGATTCCAGAGAAGGAGTCTTCCAACTTTATGATTCTATGATTTAGTCCAGTACCTTGACGTTTATTCCTGGCCTAGAATATTGTCATGAATATGTAAAAGAAAAGTCTACAAAAATGCTGAGCATGCTGTTTGGACAGAAATGGTAGGACAACAAACTATTAAAGTAAGTGGGTTGTTGTAGGTTTTTTCGGGCTATATGGCCATGTCTAGAGTCATTCTCTCCTGACGTTTCGCCTGCATCTATGGCAAGCATCCTCAGAGGATGCTTGCCCTAGATGCAGGTGAAACGTCAGGAGAGAATGCCTCTAGACCATGGCCATATAGCCCGAAAACACCTACAACAATCCAGTGATTCCGGCCATGAATGCCTTCGACAATATTAAAGTAAGGATAACAAACATCTTGCTCTTTGATGTAACTTATGGGGCCATGCTTCTTCTTAGACTTGGTGAAGGGAAATGTCTGGTTTTCAAAGCTCAGCTGATTTGCAGAAATTATATAAGACAAGGATGGTAGTAAGATTCAGAATCTACCTGAATGTATACCACACTTTGGGCTCATATTTCACTTTCTAGCCAGGGGAAAAAATATCTTAACTCACTGAAAAGTATGGCATAAATCAGAAGTGTAATATACGTTCAAGTTTATGTATCTTAAATCTGGGTTCCATCCAATATTTGACAAATTTCATGTTATTTAGTCAAGGATTAGTTTACTCCTTCTTCCCCACCAAGTGTTCTGTTCCTATACAGATCTCTTCCATTATTCTTACCTGGTTGGTTTGGACACTCTGTTTCTACTTCTCTCCTACAAGGATTTAGTTCTCTTTGAATAGGTTCTGTATGAAGAGAGAAAGACAGCAGCTATTAGGATATGCCTTCTGGATTATAATCTAGTTTCCTAAGGGTCAGAGATCTGCAAAGGACTGAAGAGACCTTCTTGTCCAACCCCTACAATACCGGCATTGTGGCGCAGCTGCATTAAGATCACTTCCTACCAAAAGGTCATGAGTTCGAAGGTAGCCCGGGTCGGAGTGAGCTTCTGAACAATTGTGTAGCTTGTTGTCGACCTTTGCAACACGAAAGATAGTTGTATCTGTCAAGTAGGAAAATTAGGTACAACCTATGTGTGGGGAGGCTAGTTTAACTAATTTACGAGGCCATAAAAAAGACTCCACCAAAGCACTCCAGCAAAGCATGTGGGGAATGCGGAAAGTACTTCATCAGTGTCGCAGATGGACGATGAAAGCAACAGCTCCCCTGGCGGCCAGAAAAGTGGAATGTTAAATAGCCTCTGACTGTCTGTCTATATGTGTTGTGTGTCTTTGGCATCAAATGTTTGCCATATATGTGTACACTGTAATCTTCCCTGAGTCCCCTGCGGAGTGAGAAGGGCGGAATATAAATACTGCAAATAAATAAATAAATAAATGAGGGAATATGCAACTAAGGCATTAGCTGGCCATCCAACATATCTGAAGACCTCCAAAGAATATTGTGTCCAATTCTGGGCACCACAATTCAAGAGAGATATTGGCAAGCTGGAATGTGTCCAGAGGAGGGAGACTAAAATGATCAAGGGTCTGGAGAACAAGTCCTATGAGGAGTGGCTTAAAGAGCTGGTCATGTTTAGCCTGAAGAAGAGAAGGCTAAGAGGAGACATGATAGCCATGTATAAATATGTAAGAGGAAGTCATAGGGAGGAGGGAGTGAACTTGTTTTCTGCTGCCCTGGAGACTAGAACACGGAACAATGGCTTCAAACTACAAGAAAGGAGATTCCACCTGAATATTAGGAAGAATGTCCTGACTGTGAGAGGTGTTCAGCAGTGGAACTCTCTGTCTCGGAGTGTGGTGAAGGCTCCTTCTTTGGAAGTTTTTAAACAGAGGCTGGATTTGTCAGGGGTGCTTTGAATGCAATATTCCTGCTTCTTGGCAGAATGGGGTTGGACTGAATGGCCCGTGAGGTCTCTTCCAACTCTATGATTCTATGATTCTAGGGTCTATCACGCACTGAGGAAGTATATTACAAGCTCTTGTAATCAATACATTCTTCTTAATGGTTAGGTGGAATATGTGGAATGTTGTATTTTCTTTCCTGTAATTTGAATCCATTAGTCCATGCCAGAGAGTGTACTCACATGATGTTACTACAGCAATATGTTTCCACCTTAATTGCCATGGCTGCATTGGATGGAATCCTGGGATTTATACTTTGATGAGGCATTAGCAGAACTCTCGGGCTAAGGATTCATTGTGCCCTTCCATAAACTGCAAATTTCAGGATTCAATAGAAGAGAATAATGGAAGTCTGTCTGGAATCATACAGCTATAACTGTGTGGTATAAAAGGCTCCCTAGTTTCTCGAGCCAAAGAAAGCAAGATTACTTTATTTTCTTTGTGTATCCTTTCAGGCATTTAAATGCATGGCTGTCCCACCACTATACAAACTTTGATTCTTCAAACTAAATATAGCCAGCTTTCTAAGCCATTTCCACAAGGATTTTGTTTCCAGGTCATGCCACTTTTGGGGAATGGGTGTGGTATAAAACTGCCAACTATCACCACCAACACATCAGCAATATCCTAATCAGTATGGAGGAGAAATGGACTAAGGATACAGTTAGGCAAGATCAGTCTTGGGACACTGAATTGGATTGGATTTGGCTACATGGTTGTTAATAATATTTTAAAATGGATTTTGCCTTAATGGTTTTATTTAATGTATGATGTTGCGATATATTGTGTATGTATTCTGTATATGTTGGCATCAAATTGTTGCCGTTGTAAGCTGCCCTGGGTCCCCCTTCAGGGGTGGAGAAAGACGGGGTACAAATGTTGGAAATAAATAAAATAATAATTGAATCCAGGGAGCAGGGTGAGCTTTATGTACACTCTGTAAATAAATAGTGGTTTATATTAGTGTAACATACCGAAAGGTTGATGGTTTGAATCTGGGGAGCGGGGTGAGCTCCCGCTGTTAGCCCCAGCTTCTGCCAACTTAGCAGTTCGAAAACATGCAAGTTTTTTTTTGACGTATCAGGAGCGACTTGAAAAACTGCAAGTCGCTTCTGGTGTGAGAGAATTGGCCGTCTGCAAGGACGTTGCCCAGGGGATGCCCAGGTGATTTGATGTTTTTATCATCCTTGAGAGGCTTCTCTCATGTCCCCGCATGAGGAGCTGGAGCTGATAGAGGGAGCTCATCTGCCTTTCCCCGGATTTGAACCTGCAACCTGCCGCTCTTCAGTCCTGCCGGCTCAGGGATTTTACCCACTGCGCCACCGGGGGCTCCTAACATGCAAGTGTGAGTAGATCAATAGGTACCGCTTCTGCAGGAAGGTAATGGCATTCCATGCAGTCATGCTGGCCACATGACCTTGGAGGTGTCTATGGACATCAGCTCTACGACTTAGAAATGGAGATGAGCACCCCTTCACCCAGAGTCAGACATGACTAGACTTAATGTCAGGGGAAACGTTTACCTTTTACACACTCCTTCCCTTTTATTAATTGGTATCACACATACAGTCTATGTTCTTATCAGCCAACAAATCTTACATAATTCTTTTTCAGATCTATTAAAAAGGTAACATCAGACCTCCCCATAGCCTTGGGGAATATGTTCCCATCCAGATCATGATTATATCAAACTGTGAATATGACTGAATGTCAGTAATCCATGTCACTTCTGGTCCCCGCATATCATGGAGGTGCATCATAGGACCTAAAGATTCCCAGAGGAATGTGCTCTGAGCAACTCTGTGGCAATTTCAGGGGGGAGTACACCATAGAATCACCTGGAGGGCCTAGCAAATTTGCAGTGTTTCCCCTAAGTGAAACTGTGGGTATGGGTTATGTGGCTACAGAGGTCTTGCTGACATACTTCCACAATGCCCTGTCAGAATGACCAATAGCTATGATGGCATGGGGATTTTGGGAACTGTTGTTCAACAAATAGATTCCAGAAGCTCTGCAAGTAACCTAAGCAATCTTCCAAGGTGCCTAGACCCCATATCATCTTATACAGCTGTACAAACAGCATCAGATGTTTGCCTAAGGCTTCAAGGGTAGACCATGCAAAGCATTAACACCAAGAAATTTCTTTTCCTATGAACAAGAGGTCAAAGAGAAATAATTGCCTACCTTGAGGGCTTATGGGCTCTGGTCTAGGTGGATCCAAGTTGCCTTCCTGCAAACAACACAAGGCATATATTACTGAACAGAAATACAGTTCAAGGTTCTTGTTGCTGTAGGCTCCATTTCAATGGAAGGATTCAGCAAAACCATCTCTGGGTATTCCTTGTCTAAGAAAACCCTATGAGATTCATGGGATTTCCAGATAGCAAGAGGGAGCTTTCCAGACAGCAAGATTTCCAGATAGCAAGAGAAAGCACACTCAAAAACACATGGCATATACATGTTTACATGTGCGTGCACTTACTCACCAGAGAACTGAAGTATGTGTCTTGAATACTGTTTATGAAATCTCTCCCTCTGGACTCTAGCAAGAATTTACACCTAAAGAAGCAATAAGGAAAAATAATGGCACAGGAAAATACACCTTGTCCAACAAATGAGCATTTCAAGCAGGGGTGGATTGGCCCCTGGGCTGGACACTGGACATACCTGGCCTAAGATTAAGATTACCCACTGGGATTCACGGCTGAGTTAGACCCTGGTTGTTGTCTAGTGCCCTGCCCACACCACTACACTACCAACCTAACTAATCTAAACTAAACCCCTCTCTATACATGGACTGCAATGTGCACATGTCATGAGCATTCAGTGAATATTGCCTAAGTTTTATTTCCTAATTTGTGGCGCAGCTGGCTGAGTGTCAGCTGCAATAAGATCATGAATTCGAAGCCAGCCCGGGTTGGAGTGGGTTTCCAACCATTGTGTAGCCTGTTGTCGACCTTTGCAACCCAAAAGACAGTTGCATCTGTCAAGTAGGAAAATAAGGTACCACCACCTTAAAGTGTGGGGAGGCTAAATTAACTAATTTATGAAGCCATAAAGAAGCACTCCAGCGGGGAAGCATGCAAGGAATGCGGAGGTACTTCATCAGTGTCGCAGATGGACGATGAAAGCGACAGGTCCCCTGGTGGCCAGAAAAATTTAAATAGCCTCTGTGTATGTATATGTTTGTATGTCAAAAATTGGCATTGAATGTTTGCCATATATGTGTACACTGTAATCCGCCCTGAGTCCCCTGCGGGGTGAGAAGGGCGGAATATAAAAGCTGTAAATAAATAAATAAATAAATAAATAAATAAATAAAGCTAGGAAATCAACATCATTAGGGACACATAAATGCTATTCTGTTTTCCATTTTCACCTATACCCAAATAGAGAGAAAGTGTATAGGGTGGGGGTGGAAGGGGTGTGTGGAGGATTACATATACAGGGATGATCTACCTTGGAAACCATCTGGCATGTTCCACCCAAGGATCATCACCACGTTCCCAATTCCTCAAAGCACCATCGCAGTAGAAACATCGTACCCAATCTCCATCGCCTGAAAAAAAAAATCAGACAAATGGTCTCATGGTTAGACAACAGCCACAGAAACAAAAGAGTCATGGCTACACAAGATATACATAGCAGCTCCTTAGGTAGCTACTTAGCAACAGCTTCAAGCATCTCTCAGGAGTAGAGTGACACTCATATGAGCCTGGATTGAGATACATTACTGCAACACCTTCATTCATTCTAATGACAAAAATCTAATTCTGCTACCCACACTAGTATTTTGAAATAATTTTTAGGAGACATCTTTTCAACATTTAGCCTATTGGAATTGAGGGACTTGGCTTTCTGCAAGGACGTTGCCCAGGAGACACCTGGATGATTTGATGTTTTATCATCCTTGTGGGAGACTTCTCTCATGTCCCCACATGAGGAGATGGAGCTGATAGAGGGAGCTCATCTGCCTCTCCCCGGATTCGAACCTGCGACCTGTCGGTTTTCAGTCCTGCTGGCACAGGGGTTTAAACCACTGCGCAACTGGAGGCTCCTAACATGGAACTGATAAGAGGGTTGTATATGTTTTTTGGACTGCAAAGGGGACAGAGCGCACATTATAACATGAGTCAACAGTGTGAAGCAGCAGCTAAAAATGCCAGTGTGATTCTAGGCTGCATCAATGGGGAGTTTAGTGCCCAGATTTGGGAAAGTAATAGCATCACTCTATTCTGCTTTGGTCAGACCTTATCTCTAATACTGTGTGAGTTCTAGGTAACTTAATTTATAAACAAGCTGGAAGGTGTCCAGAGAAGGGCAACCAAAATGATCAAAGGTTTGGAAGGTAAGATCTTTTAGGACCAGCTTAAGGTGCTGTGTGTATTTAGGGTGGAGAAAAGGGGTTTGACAGGGGACATGAGAGGTGTGTTTAAATATTTGAATGGATGTCACATTGAGGAGGGGGCACAGTTGTTTTCTGCTGCTCCTGACTAGTACACAATGGATTCAAATTACCGGGGGGGGGGGGGTTACCCCCTAAACATTAGGAAGAATTTTCTGACAGTAAGAGATGTTCAGCAGTGAAATATGCTGACTTGGAGTGTGATGTTTCCTTCTCTGGAGATTTTTTAACAGAAGTTGGAAGGTTATCTGTGTTTTGACTGTATGTTTCTGAATGGCAGGGGCACTGGACTGGTTGGCCCTTGTGGTCTATTCCAACTCCACAGATTCTCATCCATTCTAGGAACAAATAAATGGACAAGATCTAGACTTCGACCTTTTGAAAAACAAAGTGGGGCTAGCAAGCTGATCATTTAAAAGTTTTAAAAAATAAGTGGTCATACTAAACCATAATTTCAAACAGTGTAATAGCATATTAAGAATAGGTGTACAGCATATACACACTATTTTATTTATTTATTTATGACATTTATATCCTGCCCTTCTCACCCCGAAGGGGACTCTGTGCTTTTATATGTACACACAATTTTATATTATTAGCATAGCACAATATTAGCATTATATAGTATTAGTATTATATTAGTATTATTATATATATTATTATATTATATTATATTATATTATATTATAATATTATATAATATATTATAATATTAGTATTATATAGACTTAAATCAAGAAATAGTTTTCTAAGATCTACAGAGACACTCGCTGGAACACCTCAGCAAGCGAGAGTCCAAAAGTGGCAGGCTCAAACCCAGAACCTCAATCAATGGCTGATACCAAATGAGAGACTCCCCCCTGGGCACACAGAAAACTGGGCGACTTGGAAGGTGCTGAACAGACTGCGCTCTGGCACCACGAGATGCAGAGCCAACCTCAAGAAATGGGAATACAAAGTGGAATCCACAACATGCGAGTGTGGAGAAGAGCAAACCACTGACCATCTGCTGCAGTGCAACCTGAGCCCTGCCACATGCACAATGGAGGACCTCCTTGCGGCAACACCAGAGGCACTCCAAGTGGCCAGATGCTGATCAAAGGACATTTAATCAAGTACCAAGCTTGCAAATTATGTTTTGTGTCTGTTTGTTTGTTTTGTTCTGTTAGAAATGTAACACAATGGTCTGGTTGCTCCTGACACGATAAATAAATAAATAGTATACTATACCACTATACTGTAATATTATTTGTAATGTTACATGTAATATAAATATATAACTATTATATTACATTATAATATCAATATTATATTTTACTAGCTGTACCCACCACACGTTGCTATGTCCGACCTTCCCTCTCTCTTTCTCTTCTTTCTTTCTCTCCTTCCTTCCTTCCCTTCCTTTTCCCTTTCTTCCCCTCCTTTCCTTTCCCTTCCTCTTTCTTCCTTCTCTACCTATTCTTGGACTGCAACTCACAACAGCCCTCCTGATCCATCTATCTACCTATCTACCTACTGATCTCTATCTAATCTATCTATTTGGAGGATTGGTGGGAGTTGCAGTCCAGGAATAGGAAATTGGAAATATGCAGGGATTAGGATGCTCTCAAAAAAATCCAAGGAGAAGCAAGCTTGCATCTTGGAAGCAGTGCATTTGAATCATCCTCCTCTCCTAAGGGGCCTCGTCTAGGGGATGCTGGGAGCTGTAGTCCGGAAGAGAGTGTGGATATGCTATTGTGTGTGGGGGGTTTTTTGCCAGGGGAGCCATTTTGTGCATGTGCTGTAGCATCTTTTGCCTTTTTTGTTGCTTTTTAAATCCCTTCCGATGTTTTTCAGTATTTATATGAGTTATGGTCACTCATTGGGCTGAGAGGTATATTGTGTCCAAATTTGGTGTCAATTTGCCCAGTCGTTTTTAATTTATGTTAATCCCACAAATGGACATTACATTTTTTATTTACATAGCATTATATTATCAACATTATATGTGTATTATACAATATCTTATTAGCACAGCACAATATTAGCATTATATATTACTATATTGTACTATACCACTATATTGTAATATTACTAATATTACATGTAATAAAATATATAATTATGATATTGTATTATTAGTAGTATTATATTGTACTACATTATAATATTGTTATCAATATTATATGTGTGTGCAATATCTTATATTATTAAAAAGCACTTCTGCACCAACCAGCTGATTGCCTGTTGAAAGAAAATATTCTTCCTAGACTTCCTCTTTCAAAGTCAAACCATTCTGATCATGATGACTGAAATGAACTTCACAAACAGAAGTACTTTCAATACACGTTCAACATTAATAAACAGGTAAAGTCATTGGTTTTGCAATATTGTTTTCGAGTTCCCTGAAAAAGACCTGCTGGGACCAGAATACTGTACTACCTGGACTTTGGGTAAGACCTAGCAGGACAGTGCTAGTATTTGTGCATACCTGTGTAGAAAAAGCCTGCTCCCACCAGCTCCTCTGGAGACACGTGAGCATAGGGTGGCCAGCAGTGATATGTCCTCAGGCGATCCCTTTCCATTTCCAGATCTGGATATTCCGGTTGGCTGTCTCCGACAGCTTCTTCCATGTTCAAACTTTGCAGCATGCCAAGGAACTGGCCATCCACACAGTCCGGGATTTCTCCAGCCCGGGGCAGGGGCTGGTTGCCGAAATCCCTGCCCTGGATGAAGGGACAGCTTGGGAAGAACTTCTCATGCTCCACCATGGGGTCGTCTTCAGCAGTCCAGTCGTAAAGCACTCCTCCACAGCAGAAACACTCCACGTGGTCACCAGGCCCAATGAAGAAAAACCCAGCTGCAGACAAGTCGGATGGAGAGACAGGGACCTGCTCTGACCAGTGCCGGAAGGTCCTGAGTCGCTTCTCTTCCGATCTCATACCAGAGTGTGACAAATAGATTTGCCGGCCCCTGGTTTCCTCTGGAGAGGAGCTGCCCTCTGAAGATGCACTCTCCCTTCTGTTTGGATCTTCCATTTCCCGGTTGTTAGGCAGGAAAGAGGCCAGCACATCAGCAATAAACCTGGTGCTAGACGCAAGCAAACGCGTATGCACATCAGCAGCCTGCATGCTTTGGTCTTCTTTGGCTCTACCAACCGATCCACTGACAGTGTGTTCTGGAAATCTCCCAACTCCAAAAGCCAAACAAGCTCCCAAACAACAGATATTCAGAATTCTGGCTTTTCTGCAGTCTGCTGATTTTATTATTGGAGGTCAATGGTAGCCCTTCTGTCCAATTCTTCTCCTCGCTTGAACAGGAAAGGAAGAAAAAGAGAAACAGTCACAGCTAGCCAGATGTGAGTGTGAGTATTTTGGGTGGGGAGGGAGAAAGAAGAGAGAAATCCAGTAACAGTTTAAAGCAGGGGCACACTGGACACAAAAGGTCTCCTGTCAGACTGAATGCCTTGTGGACTTTGTTCAGGCAGGACAAAAGGGAGGGAGGTAATCCAGTGACTCACAGAATGACTAAACAGGTCTAATGTTTATTCCATTTACATAAAAGTAAAAGACCCATCCCACTGGTCTCCTGTTTATATATGTGTGTACTATTTTTTTCACTTTGAAATCAGTTTGCAGCAACTGAAAGAAAAATGAAGAAAAAAAGAGAAAGTGGGAGGACAAGAGAGAAACCAGGATATTTTAAAACCAGCTGGAAAAGTGGAAACCATAAGAAAAGTCAAGGCTGTTGAGAAAATAAACTGATTACCCCTGGATACTTTTTGGAAGACAGTTCCAAACTGTCTCTAAAATGTATTGTCGAAGGCTTTCATGGCCGGAATCACTGGATTGTTGTAGATTTTTTCCAGGTAATATGGCCATTTTCCAGAAGCATTCTTTCCTGATGTTTCACCCACATCTACGGCAGGCATCCTCAGAGATTGTGAGGTCTGTTGGAAACTAGGCAAGTATGTGGACAAGTCTACATAGGCACTACCAGATGCAGCATTGCCCAAACACAAATGAAGGAACATGAAAGGCACTGCAGACTAACTACCCGAGAAGTCAGCCATAGCAGAGCACCTGATGAACCAACCTGGACACAGCATATTATTTGAGAACACAGAAATGCTGGACCACACCCAACAACCACCATGTCAGACTACACAGAGAAGCCATTGAAATCCACAAGCATGTGGACAATTTCAACAGAAAGGAGGAAACCATGAAAATGAACAAAATCTGGCTATCAGTATTTAAAAAAACTCAAAAATTACAACAGCAAAACAACAGAGAGTAAACAATCAGGCACATCAAATCACTCTCAACAAAAGATTCCCCCCAGGCACTTCCAAGCCATTAAATGCTAATCAAGGTGGTCAGTTGAAACATTCATACCTAGCTCCAGCAGACAAAAGTCCTTTGTCCCACCCTGGTCATTCCACAGATATATAAACCCATTTTCCTACTTCCAACAGACCTCACTACCTCTGAGGATGCTTGCCATAGATGCAGGCGAAACGTCAGGAGAAAATGCCTCTAGAACATGGCCATATAGCCCGGAAAAACTACAACAACCCACTTTCTCCAAAATGTTCAAAATGTTTTAATTTACTTAATTACTTGGATCTCGTAGTTTCACTTCGCATGAGCATATTATTTGCTGTTGTTTTTTTTATGGTGTAGGAATAGAACTCTGTTCTTCCCATGTTATACATGCCTCTGGTATCAAATTCTCTGTTGAAACAGTAATTTCAAGGAGCATTTAAGTCAATGATTCTAAACCTTCCTAATGTCACAACCCCTTAATACAGTTCATGTTGTGGTGACCCCAAACTATAATATTTTTGTTGCTATTTCATAACTGTAATTTTGCTGCTGTTATGAATTGTAATGTAAATAATATCTAACATGCAGGATGTATTTTCATTCACTGGACCAAATTTGGAACAAATTCCCGATATGTCCAAATTTGAATGCTGGTGGGGTTGGGAGGGATTGATTTTATCATTTGGGAGTTGTAGTTGTTGGGATTTATAGTTAACCTCAATTAAAGAGCATTGTGAACTCCACCAACAATGGAATTGAATCAAACTTGGCACACAGAACTCTCATGACCAACAGAAAATACTGAAAGGGTTTGGTGAGCAATGACCTTGAGTTCTGGAGTTATAGTTCACCTACCTCTAGAGATCACTGTGGACTCAAACAATGATGGATCTGGACCAAACTTAGCATGAATACTCAATACACCCAAATGTGAACACTGATTGATTTTGGGGGAATAGACCTTGACATTTGGGAGTTGTAGTTGCTTGGATTTATTGTTCACCTACAATCCAAGAGCTTTCTAAGTCAGAATATAGTTCAGCCAAGGGAATGTGAAGAAAGTAACATATTCATTGATGTGAGACAGTGAGGGTTTCATAAGAAAAGTTAACTGAGTGAATTATACTGAATGTAAGACTCGGGACTGTAACAAAACACAAATGTAACCATAAAGCATTGGAACCAGAAGCTATAAATAAACTTTGTTACTTTGTTGCTTACCAGAGTGTCTCAAGCCTGTGATATAAAGCACAAAGGTTTAACAGCTCACAAGAAAGCCCCAACCAATTTAAAAGGGAAACTGCAGCAGTACAAGGCAGTAAAGGAATTTAGAAAGGAAATTCTTCTTCCCCTCACTGAGTCAAGAAGAAAGGCACCTATAAAAGGACAGAAACAGAGTATATCCCAGGTTTTAAAGTGGCGACAGAAAACTACATATGTGGTGTGGCATCACGTATTCAGTTATTTGCAATGTTACGCCCCACACCCACCAACAATAGAATTGGGCCAAACTTCCCACACAGAACCCCCATGATCAACAGAAAATATGGTTTATGATAGTTTTTGGTGACCCCATTGACACCCCCTCGCAACCCCCCCCCCCCCCGGGGTTCCAACCCCGAGGTTGAGAAACACTGACATAAGTAATGACAATGCACCATTGACAGTTCTGATTAATCCTCTCTCATTCCACTTTTTCTGCTCCATTTAAAATGTCCATGTCTTCTCCTACTCCAAGAGTCCCCCTTTGTGCTCGGCTGGTTTCAATTGCTGTAGGTAAAGGAAAGATTTCCCCATTTCATTAAGTCTAATCATGTCAGACTCTGGGAGGTGATACTCATCTCCATTTCTAAGCCAAAGAGCCAGTGTTGTCTGTAGACACCTCCAAGGTCATGTGGCCAGCATGACTGCATGGAATGCCGTTACCTTCCCGTAGAATCGGTACTTATTGATCTACTGAAATTTGCATGTTTTCAAACTGCTAGGTTGGCAGGAGTTGGCCTAACAGCGGGAGCTCACCTCGCTCCCTGGATTCGAACTGTCGCCCTTTCAGTCAGAAAGTTCAGCAGCTCAGCAGTTTAACCAACTGTGCCACCAAGAGGTCCATTTCAATTGCTGCAAACTGAGGTCAAAGTGCAAAAGTAGTTAGCACCCTTTTAACCTAGTAGTGAGGGGAAAACCTTGCTCTTTCCAGTAGCCTTAGACAAAAACGTACTGCTGTAGCCTTTTCAAATTTGTCCTCCTCAATAACCCTACTATCTTGGCTACACCTGGTCCTGTTTTCACCTCTAAAATGTTGGAGGCTACACAGTAGAGTAACATTTGCTGACTCCAGCTGTAAAGCAGAAGTAAGCAATGCAACGGCAAATGTCCTGAGAAGAACCAGGAAGCTGCTAATGAAAAGGCCAATTCTGCTAAAGCCAAGAGAAGCAGAAACAACAGTTTTTAAGAGAAAGCACCTTTGCTGATTGATACCTGAAATTATAAGCACGCTTATGACCCTGCTCTGGGGATCTATACTAGGAAACTCTTATGGAGAAATATAGAATGATTTATGGTATCATATTGAACTACTTTAACATCTACTTTCACTAGTCTGCAGAATATATCTGGTTCTATATTCAATCATAGGAAGAAATTAATAGAGGGACTGAGGCTATTGCCAGTAGCAACCCAAAATGACTAAACAGGTCCCCATGCTTAGCGACAGTATCTATAGGTTGAGTATCTCTTATCTGAAATGCTTAGGACAGGGTTTTAAAATTTTGGAATACCTATACTTTTATAGACCAGCATAACAGGAGGCGTTCTCTCTATAGATCTCAAGGGCCCCTTCCACACAGTTGAATAAAGTAAGACATTATCTGCTTTGAACTGGGATATATAGCAGTTTGGACTCAGATAACCCAGTTCAAAGCAGATATTGTGGGATTTTCTGCCTTGATATTCTGGTTTATATGGCTGTGTGGAAGGGCCCAAGGTCTTCCAGCATGACTAGAGAAAGTTGGCCACAGAGTCACACTGGAGAACCCAGATATTCCTAAGGAGAACGTGGTAAACATGGTCTGTGAATAATCAAATCCACAAAAGCCAAAACCACGAATGGGGAGGGGCAGCTGTATAGTGGATAACTACCTTTCCAGGTCGACTCTGAGGCCTTATGAATTCCAAGTATGTTGTTGTTAATTATAGTCATAGCAGTTCCACTTTGTAGAAAATAGCAGAGAATGGAGGAAGACGTTCCGGAGTTTAAGACAGTTTGATGACTCCAGAACAGAGAATTTGTTTTTCTGCCCTCTGGCAGTACATTGGTTCTCCTTTCTTTGTTACAGCTGAACAACAAAGAACCAAAAATGCCATTTTACATTTATTATTCCTCCCCCACTGCACAATATTTCAACATGAACAGAAGGAACTGAGGTGTGACAGCCTATACATAAAGAGTCGTTTATATTATTGTAATATACCGAAAGGTTGGCGGTTTGAATCCGGGGAGCGGGGTGAGCTCCCGCTGTTAGCTCCAGCTTTTGCCAACCTAGCAGTTACTATTCCTCCCCCACTGCACAATATTTCAACATGAACATAAGGAACTGAGGTGTGACAGCCTATACATAAAGTGTAGTTTATATTATTGTAATATACCGAAAGGTTGGGGGTTTTAATCCGGCAAGTGGGGTGAGCTCCCACTGTTAGCCCCAGCTTCTGCCAACCTAGCAGTTCAAAAACATGCAAATGTGAGCAGATCAATTCGTACTGCTCTAGCAGGAAGGTAATGGCACTCCATGCAGTCATGCTGGCCACATGACCTTGGAGGTGTCTATGGACAATGTCAGCTCTTTGGCTTAGAAATAATGATGAGCATCACCCCCCCAGAGTCAGACACGACTAGACATAATGTCAGGGAAAACCTTTACCTTAAGATACCTCTGAGCTTTACAGTTTCCAAGGTATATTCTAAATAGTCAAATATACACTTTTCCTTTTTGCCCAGCTATACAGAGTTTCACCTCCACACTTTACTCTATATTGTATAATGTGGCTAAGACTGCTGGGATTTG